CACAGAAGACAGTTACATTTTCAGAGTCCAGTTCTGACCCCATAAGTTTACAAGGTATTACTTGTCAGAGTGAAGGTATAAAATCTTTAGGGATTTGTGAGAAGGAACCAAAATTTTCTCAATCTATTATTAAAGATTTTGAAATTGATGAAGTCGTCCTGATAGATGATGGTAAGTTGAATATTCGTGATAATGATCATGATACTTCACATTTGTCTTTGGTTGTTCATGATGCCATAAGGGGAATTCCAACTACTTCTGAGTTGAACAAAAATTCTGTACAACTACAACGTGAAGTAGAATTAAATGCACATGTAGTTGCAGAAGGCATGCATACTTGTCAAACCGTCAGTGGGAGTGATCAGCATGTATCCCACCTATCATCAGATGCTAGTGCTAAATCGGAGCTGATAGTAAAAGACAGCAGTGGTGGTGGTCTTGCAGGTAGACAAATTTCTGAAAGTCGAGCAACAACAGCTTTTGATCCACTGCTAAGTTCATCAACTGGTATCAGTCAGTCGTCGTTGGTGTTGTCATCCACAATGAAAAAGACGCCCATCAACTCAAGTGTGTTGTACAGTGACTATGATGGTATTGGTGAGTTTGAAAAGACGAAAGATATTGCTCAGTTCAGAGAGGATAAGTCAAGTGTAAATGAGAGAGTAATTGTTAAATTGACTTCCACGAATAAAGGCACTTCTAGTTTCAAGTTACCATTTGAATGCTATTATCTTTGGTGTAAATTACTCTGTTTCTACACTTGGTTGATCAGATACGTCGAGTGTTTGTTCATCATCTATGTTCTACGATACAATGACATGGGCGTGTTACTGTTCAGATTTGAGGATATAGATGATAGAAGGAGGTCACCAAATAAACTCTGCTACGACTTTCCAGTCTAGGGCGTCAACCTGACAATGGTTGTAGGCGTACTGCTGTAAGTCCTACAATTCTTCAAAGGGTAGCGCATCAATGAGCAGTCCAATATGCTTGGTGTATGATCTTGTACATATGTTGATAGTGTATATACTGAATTGATATCATCTGTCATCTAGCTGTTGGTAATTCTGTTTGTGTCCGGACGACTTCCACTTGGATCATCAACCTGAGAAGGAATGTAGGCGTACTGCTGTAAGTCCTACAGTTCTTCAAGGGTAGTTTGCCATGTCAGAATACACAACATTTGATGTGTTGATTGTACATATGTTTGTGTTAAATAATTGTGAGTTCCAATTGATGTAATTGTTGGTTAATCTTGTTTGTGTCCGTACATTCCACAAATTACAATCGTCAACCTGAGAAGGGTTGTAGGCGTACTGGTGTAAGTCCTGTGATTCTTCAAAGGAATTCCATCAAGACATGATCCGCGAGGTTATTTGTACTGCTTGTGTATACGTGTGCTGTGTCTCATCAATTTGTGATTTTGGATTCATTGTGTTTACTCGTTGTTTTCGTACCTTGTTGTTATTGCATAATTTTGTTAAAATTTTCGTCGTGATTACTCCTGAAGTTGTTTCTAGACTTCTACATCCGTGAATGAATTGATTGATGTTAAGGACAGCAGATGGGTCGTATACGCCGGGGAGACTAGTGCCGAGAATGACATGCACACGGAGATAATTGTTACCTGTGGTCCCACACGTCGGGGAGAAAGAGTGTAGACGATTGAGGCTCGCAAACGTCACCGTTACTAGAACTGAGGCAGAATGAGTGACAAGCGATCGCAGTGGTATTTGGTAGTGAGTAGATAAGACGATGTGCGTGGAGTATCGTGAGGTGCTGCTATGGTCACGTTGCATTCTGGAAGAGTCATTCTAGCAAGTGGCGATTGTGTTGCAAGATGTCAAGAGGATGCCTTTAACTGGAAGGCGCAGATCGTCATTGATGTGTGAGATTGTGCTGTGGGTATGCTTGTGGTGTGTTGGCTTTTCTGTTTGTTTTCCATTTCAGCTCTGTCCGTGTGACCCAGGTTCTCGCAATGGCATCCAAGTCAACGTGTATTGGTCGTGATGGAAAAAAGGGATGGATCCCTTTTTTGCCGGGGAGTGTCAATGGAGTTGAAGATTGAACGATCAATTCACGGTTGTTTGCTCAAAACCAACTTCCCCAATTCCCGCGGAGGCATCAATACGACAGTCATCGTCTCATCGGTCGCTGTTCAGAAAGAAGCTAGAAAATACTGTCAGAACTAATATCGTGATTTATTGTTGTAGTATTTGTTCTTAGACCTTAATCCGTAATACCAATAATGTTGGTTACATGTTGGTGTTAGAACAAGGAATTCTCGAGTCGTGAATCTGCGTTCTGGTTTTTGCGTCCGGTAATACTAAGTGTTTCTGGGAATCTTCGAGGGACAGCGTGGGGCCCAGAGTAGCAAGGACTGGACATTAACGGTTTATGAGATGTGATTGACCCTATGGTTTAATGCTAAAATTTTTGTCCAACACAGGATAGCTCATGGAATGGACTTAATTATGCGTGCACGATCACTAGGAATTGCTGAAATAGATGATTTACACAGCAGTCTCAGATACTGCCTCTCCTATCGCAACACTGAATAGTTATACATCCTTTTCACTGAAGAATGTATGCAATTTATTCTGCAAGCAAAGCGGAAATCCCTGTGTATGTGGCGAACCTGCAAGGGACAGACATATTGCGGTTTAAATCTTGAACTCAGGAAATGGTGCTACACAATAGTCAGGGGTGACAGCAGGTCATTTCGCGCAAATTTTTCCGAAGGCTTCTGGAGAATATCAAAGCATATAAAGTTTGTGTCATAGGAAAAACCAGCCATCTGAGACATGAATGTTAGTAGGTGCAAACGGTCAATAACTAGCTTGTTTGGAAATAGTTGGAGGATTCACTCCAGCGTTTGCCAAACAGTAAGAAAGCGATGTGAGCATTACACGTACAGGCATATATGCGCCACCACTATTTGACCGAGGGAAAACTTATTGACTGAGTTCCAAATAAAACCGACAAAGGTATTAGGAAAGTTATAGAGACTCATATCTGGAAAGCACCTTGGTTGTATCAAATTTGCGCCATCTCTTCCAAAACGGTGCTCAGAAGCCCTCTGTAGGCCCTTATGTCACTGGTTCCAGTGCTCGGAGAACTCAGGGAAACTGTCAAGGGAGTGGGAATTAACCAACCTTTCTCCTTTTTAAGGTTGGGATAATCAAAATGCCCCCGATTGCAGTCCACTGGTGCTACTCCCAGTGGTACCAAAGGTACTGGAAAGTGCAAGTGATGACCACACTCGGGAACACCTTAATAGGACTAATAGACTCCATGGAGCACAGGAACGGTAGATCCTCTTCAACAAACCTACTATCTCCGTGGAACGATTGGACATCATGCTGGGATATAAATGTTCCAGTCCATTTCATCTTCCTGGACTTTGAGAAGGTATCTAGCACAATTCACCGTGGTCTTCTTCTTCACTATGATCCTACACAAAACAAGTGAGGCAGGTATGGGTGGGCCGCTTCCGCCATGATCGGAGGACTATATATACGAAAGGTGACCCAGCACTGAATTCAGTTGTGTCCGATCATTCTGGTGCAGCTCGTCAACGGGAGTATCGTTGTGGTCTATCCTAGGACCACTGATGTTTCCGACTTTTATCATTAACCTTCCATATTAGGCTGCCCGACTTTTCTTTACGCTGACAACGTAGAGATTTAGAGAGCTCTAGAGTCCTCGGGAGACTCACATAGGCTTCAGGAGGGCCTGAAACTTCTAGAAGACTCGACGACGGCCAGTGGTAGGACCTTCAATCTGAAAAAGTGCAAGGTAGTGCGATTGTGCACCTGTAGTCTGAACACTGTAAGTTACACCCGGTGCAACGAAAATTTGTCCTGCACAAAGTTGGAGCGTAACTTAGATCTGGTACAAAGGGGAAAATGGACACGGGTGTGAATAACGCGGGGAATGAAGCGAAGGCATATGCCGTCATGCACTTTACACATAGAAAGTCAGGTTCCCTCACTACTTAGCCCTTTCTTTGATTGTGTAAAACATACGTTAAACCACACTTTGAAGTGCAGAATATCACTGCCCCCGAACTTCGTAGAAGAGAGGCGAGCCTTTTGGAAAGAGTCCAAAGACGGGCGACAAGGGAAGTCTTGGGTCTCCGAAAAAATCATATGATGAACAGTAAAGCGAATGAAGTCTCTCGACACTTAGCTGCCATCGGCTTAAGAAGGACTTGATCACTGCCTATCGAATTACGAATTGCCGGAATCACCCAAACACAGATATTCTGCCATTCAGTACTTATGGACTTCTCCGTGGTAATCTACATAGGATGGCTCACCACAACGCGAAGAATCGAGAGTGCTCCAATTTCTTTTCCCTGAGAGTTTAACGTCCCTAGAACTCCCCACCAGAGGTTGTAGCTATTGAGCCGTTCACGGACAGCCTCAATTCAGGGCTGGGCAGTTATGGAGGGACAGAAGCACGGCCTATCTACTCAAAACGTGCGCACGATAAATGGCTGGACACCTAAACTAATCGTCTTACTTCTTTGTATTCTCTGATGTCCTACCCTCCCAACTACTCCAACTATTACTTCCTTTAGACTATTATTATTGTTATTAATATGTTTATGTGTATTTATTATACATATTTTTACTCATACATCGCTTCCAAACTTCATTATGCGGTTTTTTCTTTATTTTAAGTCTACTCAGCCTACATTGATTACATCTGTTATTATCACCTCTTTTTTGACATAACCGGACAGTTGACGGGTGAAAAGATTAACTCCAGTCACAGTAGCAACACGGTCTTAACACACCACACACTACAAACTACACATACCTAATTCCAGTATAGCTCATTTTGGAGTAGACCATGGCTACGACAGTTAAGTGACAAGAATATTTAGCCAGAAGTTTACAGGGGACCGGTAATTCCAACTTCACAAGGAAGAAGCTAGCACAAAGAAATCCAGCCGGCTTACACTAGTTTCTTAAAATACGAAACTGGATATTGAATAACCTTTGTGGCGCCAGGCTTAAAATGTTGATACTGAGTGATGGGTTTATGTGTGAGTTATGGAAAATGGTAGAATCTTCGTAATAAGATGGATCAAGAACTGTCATATTCGACCACTGTCGAGCTTTCAATCGCTTGCAGGTCTGTTTGAGATATATTTCATTATTTAACTGCAGAAATTTATGTGATACTGATGTACTATCAAAATCCGATCCACGTATGTCCTATGCACTCATCTTTAACGTGTTTCTTAGTCATTGTTGTGTTTGAAAAGTCGTTTCCGGACGATCAGTGGGTTGAACTGGATAGAACAGAGATAATCCAGAATAACCTGAATCCAGACTTCGCTAAGAAAATTGTAATGGAATATCATTTTGAAGAACAACAGAGACTTAATTTTGCCGTGTTAGTACTCACTTTTAGTTTCTTAGTTTCTTAGGTATGATGTTGACAGCAAATCTGACAAGTTGGACAAACACGTAGGCATATTTATTACCTATATATGTATCAATATAGGACTTTTTGGGAAATTGTGAAACTACTCTAGGGGAAATTGCATCCTCAGGTAAAATCACAAAGCCGCTAAAGTAAGCGTGTATTTTCTCTATAATATGCCTTAAGAAATGGCCCTTCAAAAGACTGCGGTACAATTATTAGTAAGTACTAAGTGATATTAACTAGCGACTTTTTTTGTAGTTTCTGCTGAGGAAGTTTCTTCTTGCAAAGTAAGCCAACGTTTTCTTTGTAAAGTTATTTTTTTAAAGGACGAACTTACACTCGATCTTTCTGGAAGGATGTTGGATAAGAAGGATATATTCGGATCTTCTGATCCTTTCTTAGCATTTTATCGAGTAAATGAAGACAGAAGGTAAGACTGGATAACAATATCACTTAAGATAATTAATGGTGTCCTAGTATCTTTTGGGTAAATTGGTTCTTGTTGTATATATGACTTTCATGCGTATCATTTACTACTTGTAATGTTTGCTGAAGAGAGATATTAAGTGGCATTAATAAGGAGAAGAGTAAAAGCTCTTTAATACCAGGATTTGTGTACTGTTTTGCCCGTAAATCTTTTAAAGACTTGAAGTAACAAGCTGACCCGTACTGCGAGAAAGGCTATAGATAACGACCTTGTTGAGTGTCATTTCAACAAATTTAAAATTGCCGGTCAAAGTTAAGCCGTTGAAAGATTTTCAATTTTTAACCTCTATAGAGATGTTTGTTGCCAATAGCATTTGATGAATGGGGTCTAGGTTCACCTTCCATCTCATCTACTTCAGCTGGCGTGATTTCGCACTATTATAAGCCCCCATACAATGTGTACCTCATAACCTAAAAAAAATTTACTCCGGTTTAAATGAACCCGTTCCGTACTCTGCTTCTTGATATTGTAAATTAAAAACATTAGTGGATAAACATTTGTTAATGCTGTCTATATCTAGTCTTGCGTTGCCTATTAGAATTTATGAATCATCCAAGAAGTTTATGCTTTTATAAGAAATGCTCAAATTTCACTCATCACTACTGTAGGCTGATTTATCTAACAGTAAAATTTTTTCAGGGTAACTGAACTGAAGCTATTAAACGCAAAAGATTGTGATTCAACCTGTTTTATACATATTTCAGCAACTCAGCAGGTTTAAGATCAGAGTTGCATAGATTGATGCTTCCTATTTGCTCACGATTTTGTTGAGGACTAACTTAACTTACAAACAGTGTTATGAAGGAAGTCATAATCAGCATAGTTATAATGCCTGCAGTTTATAGTTACAGGATAGGGAGTGGATGAAAAAATGTGTCAACCACTCAGTCCTTTTAAGAGGTCGCATCAGCCATAATGGACCACTTGCTGGCCAGTTATCATTACGGATATGAAAGTTTGGTGTCAAGGTGAGTTATCCAGCATTTCGTTCTGTCCTACTTTACGACCACGAGACATAACCAGTGGGAGTAGATACGAAAAGTCAGTGCATTCTGACTACATATTACCTTCGTTGAATCGATTGTATCAAATGGGGCAATATGGCAAATAAATAAATGTGGCTAGGCATAATGTCGGGTAATTCGAGAAAGTCGATATATGCGGTTATGAAGTTTTATCAGTGGAGGTGGTCAAGGCATGTGCTGCGCATGACGACCAATCACCTTCCCCAACAAGAAATGCCAGTTGAGGTCGTATAAGTTAGAGTTGTCATGCCAGGATATGACGCTAAGCCATGAGGTGATTAGCTACTGATCTGAGCCAAACAGGTAAATATGAGAATTAATCGGCACTAACAGAGGTTTTTGGCTGCAGTCGCACTGCATGACAACAGCCTGTGTAAATTTGCATACTTTTAAATGTGTTAGTTATGTTTCGATACTTCTCAGTAGAAGTAATGACAGTCTACACTATCTGCATGTTACTCTGTAGTGATGATCAGAGAGTTGTCTCTATGCCATATGCTAGTAATTCATATTATCCTAAAGTGGACAGCTAGTTCAGCATTTGACTAGTCACTGCACATTGTATAAAAGCGTCACATAATTCATCTTAATTATTTTGTTTGTTAATTACTAACCATTCTATTTCCAAATTTTGTGTGTATACAACGTTCATCGAACAGTCGGACAGTTGTTTATCGTACCAAAGAGATAAGAAATACATTGAATCCCAACTGGAAACAAATGGTCATACCAATGAGACTTTTATGCAATGGAGATCATGACAGGTTAGTACTATCTTGTATTCTGCTTAGCAAATATCACATTTCACTTCCCGTGTCATAAACTTATGCCATCTCTCCGAATTCCAGCACCTAATGTACTTTTATCCATTATCTTCAGCATCTGTTAGACATTCTAAAATAGTTGCTTTTTAGGCTTTGTTTTGTGGTTGGTTATAGTCTATACACTGTGTATTTAATTTTACAACACTTGTGTGGTATGACAGTTTAATAAGTTTTATTTTGTATAATTATTATTTCGGTGAAGATGTTGCTTAAATAATTCTTCCATAGAAATATTAAGTGTCTGACGGACTACAGTAAATAGACTTTGCTGGATCCCTTAACTGTTAATTTGTTCTCATTTGAACAATTTTCATGACTAATGGTGACGAAGATATACAGCAGTATCAGTCATTAGATATAACTTATTCAGTGGGAACCATTTATGTCGACGAATGGTGATTATTTATCAAATTAATGTGATTAAGACACTTTCTTGAAAACTCCTTTACCTACCTACCGACCTGGGAAGCATCGTTTCAACTACAGGAGGACGGAACTGATGAGAATATCAAAGCAAGGATCAACGGGAAAGCAAGACAAGCTTTCATTACTCTCAAATCTGTGTGGAGGTCAACAGCACTACTCAGCATGAAAAATGAGGTCCAGATTTTCAACTCCCATGTAAACTCAGTCTTGCTTACTATACGGATCAGAGACTTGGCGCCTTATAAAGAGCACCTCGAACAAACTACACACCTTCATTAACAGCTAGCTGTCTTCGCTTAACACTCAAGATCAGATGGCTGGCCAGAAAAGATCAGCAACAAGGAGGGATCTCTGGGAGCGAACCAACCAGGAACCGATTGTGCCTCAAATAAGCAGGAGGAAATGGAGATGGATTGGCTGGCCATACTCTGAGAAAACACACCATCAAGTGACATTACTAGACAAGCCATTGGTCGAGTGGAACCCGAAAGGGATGGTGGGATGACTTGGAAGAGGTCATGTGAAGAGATGAAAGCATGTAGGCAGACGTGGAGCCAGGTGAAATCTCTAGCAGAGAACCGAGTGAAACGGAGACGTAAGGCTGAAGCCCTATGCTCCTCTAGGGTTTTAGAGGAAATAATAATAATAAGACACTTTCTTAAGTCGATACTATGGATGTAGATACTACCATCAAATAAAGTAGATTCCATACACCTTTTCCTATTCGTATGAGATAATTTACTCTGTTTTCTAAATTTTTTTTGCTAAACAATATGCCGGGAATAGTACCTCTGACAGTGTGATTTTGTCATAATGGAAAGTTTGTATAAAATTTGTGCAAACATGTTAATTTTATTTAGCTTTATCGATATTGTGACATGAAGACTTAGGAGAAAATAACAATCAGTTTTTCTGCAAATATTTTTTCTGAATCATTTCGGTTGCATGTATTATCTAAATATCACAAAGAAATTATGTTCTAAAGTAATACAGATGCTTTAAACTCCTAAATAAAATAGTATGAAAATATTTCGCTTTAACCAAAGAACTATATGCTTCGGTGTTCGAAAATAAGGAGGGTTAAAAGATTCTTTGAAAAACAGTGTTCTGATTTGTTTTAAGTTTTACCATGGATTGATGTCAGCTAAAGAACCACTAAAAACTAGGGAGCACTGGAGATCTGTTTCGTCCTAGTTTGAGACTCGTTGGGTACACGCACCCGCCGGGTTTCGGACGCAGGACCTACAGGCTACAAGACAGGCTCGTAGAAGCGTTCATCCACTGAGACACGATTCAATGGCTCATGAATTCCAACTCCAAACTTGGAACAAATCAAATCCCCACAAACAAATCCTTGAAAGTGTTCCGATCTATTGAACCGTACATTGCACTGAGAAATATGTATTCTAGGAGATCTAGTCTTCGTTTCACAAAAACTTGAAGATCTACAGGTGAAAACTAGCAAGTTGGCGGGTGAGACAGCGTGAAAGGACTTCAAGTGAACACAGAGAAGTTAGATGTGATGATAAGGCTACCTAATCAACAATAAGAAGCATTAATAGCCATCAATGTGAGAAATTCAAAGGAAGTCACCTTTTCCACTTATTTAGATGGCATGTATGAGGATGTCAAAGCCAGGATTGATAAAGACAGACAGACAGATCTTCATTGCTCTGACCAGTCTGGAAATCTGCTGCACTATGCATAAAGAAGACGATCCGGATTTTCACCACTACTATCAAGTCAATTAGTTCTTTTGTATGATTCAGCGACCTGGCTAACTTTTTAACGAAAACGTTTCCAACAGCCTACTACAGACTTATCAACCCCTGCCTTCGCTCTATATTTTTAAAGATCAGATGGTCAACCTGAAAAGATCTGTAATAAAGAACACTGGCGAAAAACAATCCAAGAATCTATCGCCCAACAAATATACCGAAGAAATTGGAGGTGAACTGAATACACATTTTCTGTCTGTCTGTTTTCGACATAGAACTTTTCACCGAGGTGCACCAGTTCAAGTAGCCACACCTCATTTAGCACATGAAGCAAAAAAGAAAGTAGAAGAAATGCATAATAGAGACAGTAAACAGAGGTGTGAGACAAAAGGAATAGTAATAATGAAGAACAATATAGTTTCATTGGAAATCATAAGTCACAAAGAGTGGATGCATTTACACTGGCCATTGAGAATGATCACTTTGAGCCATATCACCAATGGTTTCCAGCATGTCATTGGTTTTTACCGTCCCGAGTACCCCAACCAGCCAGTTAGAAAGTCTACAACTTCCTACGTGACTGACTGGCTTAAACTAACTGTTGTAGATTTCATTGACTGGTGAAGCCATGCTTTGGTTTGACCGCCGCTGGCTCTTTTCCAGCCTGACCGACCTTATGTCAGCTAACGTTGCCCATTGTCGAAGAAGTCGATGACCAGGCGTGCATGCGTGGCACACGTCCTAATCATCTCAGTCGATGTAATTTCACAGCCTCGTTGATTGATTTCCCCTACTTACCTAGAACTCGACCGAGGCCTAACCTCAATATTGCTCACCTTATTATACCACTTCACACGGGAGATAGAACGCAGGGACCTATGGTCAAAGGCAGCTAATCTTTTCATGTCTTCCACTCTCAATGGCCAGGTCTCACAGCTAGCCATAAAGGAGGACGGAGCGGACTGTTGAGCAGTTCACCGGCCCTTCGGTCGATAGCCAGCCGGATATCACGTCTACGCCAGAGACAGCGTAAACTGGCATATGCGAAACTAGCCCTCTGTATCCGTGCTGAGATTTCGTCAGAGATCAAACCGTTTGCGGTGGCTGGTGATACTTTTCAAATAAGTGAAGCAGTCAACGTGCTCTATCACTTCACTCCCTATTTCTAAACTAGGAGTCAGTGTACTCCAGTCCTGCTGTAAAGACGGTTGAGTAGCAACACATGTTAGGCGTAACCCGAAATAGCGGCGTGTTGGGCGACTGAATATGCAATGAAGGGGTTGAAAGCTTAAGGTCATTCATGGAGCTAACTAAAGTAGATTGCAGTGAACACAGGCAGAGTTCAGGTATGTGCTACAGATGCCCAATGTTCCACTTGCAACTCAAAGGAATAATTATTATTTAGACTTTTCAAGTCAATGTAGTAATTGAAAACCTAGTTTTTGTTGCTCAGGATATAAACTTTCTGTGGTTTTGTGCGTCGGTGGCATAGTGGTTAGGACTCTCGCCGACCATACACATGGTCCGAGGTTCAATCCACTGCCGACGAAGCACACCTGATATCTATGGTCAGCCTGCAAAATTTGGGCTACCGATATCCATGCTGAATACTCCATACTTGTACCAAAAATACAGTGTGGAACCAAGCTGTAAATAAAAAAATAGGTCGCTGTTTTTATGTTTAATCGTTGCAAGGTTATTAATACTATAGCCACTTTTTGTATAACATGATATTATTATCTCGGAAAAATTTTGTAAGAGTTTTATTACAACGCATTTTTTTGTGCTTCATTAAATCAAATTAATTTATTTAATGAATCAAAGTTAGTTTTTTTGCTTTTGTTATTTTTGAAATTATTTCATTTTTCAGACCAGTGGTTATTGCTTGCATTGACTGGAATAGAAGTGGAAGGTAGGCAACTTTATTTGTAATACTTAAATTTTATATTCTGCTTAACAAAGCTATTGTTCTGTTCTATCTGCATTAGAACTAACATTTACGGTTGTTGGATGAACTTATTTATTTTGTCACCTGTAAACTGGTTTTACAATTCCCTAACTGTGATTCTGGCAGTCTGTCATTTGTTTTGTTTTTTTCTCTCCTTGAAATGTATACTGACTGCCTTTTGTTGACCAGAGTGTCTCAGGCATAACTGTGAGTAGATCTATGATTATCATACTTCGAAGTAATACTCGCTGTCAAAGTTCTCGGAAGTCATATTTAATAGAAACGCGTTTCAATTCAAAAGTGTAATTAATCATCATTAATCTGAATGCTACTGCTAATTTTGTAGTTGTAATAACTGTGTGCTAGCAATTATTTTCTTATAAAGATAAAAAAGGCGAAGATTCTTCTTCTTCTTATATTATTGTCCCTTTGGGTTCCTAGTGGAACATAGGACTTCAACTGCACCTTTCCACTTGCTTCTGTCTTCTGATGTACTTTTCACCTGCATCCATGTTAGTTACTCCATACTCTTTCAACTCCTCTTCACACAATCTCCCCCATGTCACCCTTGCACTGACGACCCACTCGCCGCTTCCCTTCCAGCCTGGTTCCACTCGAGCAATGGCCTGACGCGCGCGCGATGTCACCCGGTGGCCTCCTCAGCAAATGTTCAGTCCATCTCCACTTTCTCCTGAATATTTGTTGGTTGGCGATTGGTTTTTGTCTTGTTTGTTTGTTCCCAGCCATAGTTTCTTGTTGGTGATTTTTTCCGGCCTGGCCATCTGATCTTCATTCACTATAGAGCGAAGACAGTTAGTTGTTGATAAAGGTCTTATGCTTTTCTTTTTTTTTCGTTTTACATTAGGGACTGTTTATTAAACACTAATTGTTAAAGTGGTAATGTTCGAAGACTTACTCACAAATCTTGCTTCCCTTCTATAGTATGATCTATACCCCTCACCGAAATTTTAGATTATTTAACATCTGCAAATGAAAACTTAAAATTTGTAATTATTTTCCTATTGGAGATATGACATCATAGAAACTATTATTTTATTCAATACCGAATTATTGCCCTTCATTTATTTATTGGTAGTAGTCTTATCCTATTAGCTTAACATTGTCGAAATTCCATTATGGATAAGATTTTATTTTGATAAACTGTCACACAGTGTTCGTTATACAGTAATATTAACTGATGTGACCACGTTTCGAGCACAAAGTATTGCCACTCATAATCATCATATCAAGTCACTAATTCACACAACTTTCTTGTTTCCTTCATTTATATACATGAGTGGAATCGATTAGATATTGAAATAAAAAACAATATAGGATAATGTACATCCAGAAATAATAACACGAGTGTTATTGATCAATTACAATCAGATGGGAAATAAGACGAGTGTTTTTATAGTCATAATAAGTTACCTGTTAGAATGTTGTGATGTCCTTGAATTCAGATAGAATTTTAAGATTATTTATTATCCTCTTCCATATTTCTGGCATTTGCATTGCGTCATTTCTGTTGCATGTGATGACTGTAGACTCAATAAACCCGGATTCAGTAATCAACCTCTCTCTCCATCTATTTATATTACTTCTTAGAATCTTAACCCTCTCCCACCCTATTGTGTTGTTGTGTCTAAATGCGTGTAGTGCAATTGCTGAGCTTTTTTCTAAATTACTTATCTTCGTGGGATCAATCATTGTAATCTTAGCTAAATTCCAACGTTCTGATAATCTCACTACTCCCGATCTACTAGTCTAACCTATGTAGTTAATTAAACACACAGTCATTGCAAGGTATTTTTTAAATTATATTATTTTTTTAATTATGTCCACCGGGTCTTTTAGCCTACAAAGCTTGTCTCTGAGTGAGTTTGTAGATTTGGATGCCACCCTAATTTCTGCCTTATTAAGGATCCTACGTATTATTATATTACGTATATTATATTATTACCGCCAGTGAGTCAATGAGTGAGCCAGTGATAATCATAGGGGGATCAGCCTAACGAACATAGTCTTTAAAATCCTAGGCTCAGTAATCATGCATAGACTAAGCAGAACTCGGGAGGAACAGACAAGGGAAAATCAAGGAGGCTTTAGACCAGGTAGAGGGTGCATAGATCATATCTTCACTCTTCGACAGATTCTAGAACATAGACACACTTTTCGGCGTCCAACAATTGTCATATTTCTTGACTTGAAGGCGGCCTTCGACTCCGTGGATCGAAAGGTACTATGGCAATGTCTGACTGTGAAGGGAGTGCCAAGAAAGTACATTGCACTAATCAAGGCACTCTATTCAAACTCACGTAGTCGTGTAAGGGCTTATGAATTGGTAACAACCAGTGGTGTCCGACAGGGATGTCCACTTTCCCCATTCCTGTTTAACTTCATCATAGATATCCTGATGGAAGTATCCTTAACTGAACGTAACGACTTAGGAATCGACTTGTTACCAGGGAATAGTCTTATGGACTTAGAATATGCAGATGACATAGTCCTGTTAGGGGAGGATGATGACAAAATAGAGCAGAGTCTTCTGAACACCTTGAGCAGCAATCTTCGTATGTTTGGCATGCGATTCACCCCTACAAAATGTAAGATGCTGCTTCAGGACTGGACCACGTCAACTCCTAACTTAGTGATAGGGAGTGAAGTGATAGAACATGTTGACCACTTCACCTATTTGGGAAGTTGTATTAGCACCAACGGACTGATTGGCGATGAAATCTCAGCACGGATCCGAAAAGCTCGAGCTGCTTTCACTGACTTACACCATCTCTGGCGTAGGCGTGACATCCGGTTATCAACCAAGGGACGTGTGTACTGCTCAGCCGTTCGCTCCGTCCTTGTTTATGGTTCTGAAACATGGCCAATACGAGTTGAAGACATGAAAAGGTTGACTGCTTTCGATCATAGATGTCTGCGATCTCTGTCTCACGTTAGGTGGTTTCACAAGGTAAGTAATGTGGACGTTCGGCGTAGAGTGTTGGGTAAAGAGGGAAAATCAATCGACGAGGCTATAAAGTTACATAGATTGAGATGGCTAGGTCACGTGCTGCGCATGCCTAACCACCGCCTCCTCCGACGGGCATTACTAGCTGATATAGGTTCAGGTTGGAAAAGAGCCAGTGGTGGTCAAACAAAAACATGGCCTCATCAATCCATGAAATCCTTGACAGTTAAACTGAGTCAGGTAGGAGGAGATGCAGACTCCCGGGTTGGGGGCCTTGGGACTCTAGGAATCAATGGCTGGAGACAATAGGTGACATGGCTCAAAATCGTTGTCAATGGCGCAGACGTATTCAGTCTCTGTAATCTTTCGTATTCCTTTCTACCATTACCCGTTCTGTTTAGCTGTTATACTTGTGAAACTCTATTGATTCTCTTCACTTATCTTCTTGTCTACCTCTGTGTGCTATTTGGAACGTGGCAACTCGAACTGGTGCACTTCGGTGCCAAGTTCTATGTTGAATCCAGACAGACAGACAGACAGTGAGTCAAATCAGAAGAGGATAATAAATAATCTCAAAATTCTATTTCAATTCACGTACATCACAATATTCCAACAAGTTACTTATTATGACTATAAAAACACTCGTCTTATTTTGATTGGACATTAGTAACTAGTGTGACGTTTCTAGTCCTTTCTTTGGTGCAGATTGAATTTTATCATCAACTCGTCTTATTTCCCATCTGATTGTAATTGATCGATAATACTCATATTATTATTTCTGAATGCACATTATCCTGTATTGATTTTTATTGCAATATTTAATCGATTCCACACATGTGTATAAATGAAAGAAAACAGTTGTGTGAGTGAGTGATTTGATGTGATTATGAGTGGCAGTAGTTTCTCCTCGAAAAGTGCTCATCAGTTAATATTACTGTACAATAACACTGTGTGATTTATTAAATAATTTAATAATTCCCATTGTAGCATTAAGAACACAATTTTCAGCGAAGAGACTCTTTTCAACGAATTTATTATCAAGCTGTACAATCGTATATATATTGTTTTATAAAGAAATTATATCCGGTGAGGGAATTAGGTCAAAGGTGTAAATACATGAAATAATAATATTATGAAATAAATTTAAAATATTTGTGATTAGGTTCATAGTTTAAGTCAAGTGGAACAATAATTAATGTCATATATAAGATAATACATCAGGTGTATAGATTTTGGGGAGAGGCATATAATTGTAAGATTAATAGACGAATGTAAAATGTTACGTAACATGGTGTGAAATTTGATAACATAGAATTTAATATTGTAAAAATAAAGATAAAAAGTATACACATGAATAATTTTTGGTTTAAAATGTCAAGTAGATCAAGTGGAAAAGATTCAGAATGAGAGTCGTAATAATGATAATAATAATAATAATAATAATAATCGAAGTAATAAGGGAAAAGTACATAGAATAATAAAATAAGTAAATGTCTATCCCTCTACGGCCAAGGCAGCAGTAGGGATTGTACATACATTTATTAAAATAAAATCTATCACAGTGCCCAAGTTTTATAGAAGTTTAAAGAATTAAGAAAAGCTTAGATTCGTCTGTATTTAGTGGAAATCTGTTACACTAAGCATAAGTAACAAGATCCGGATTTTCAACGCTACTATCAAGTCAGTGATTCTATGTGGTTCGGAGACTTGGCATTTTACAACAGGCTACAGAATTTCATCAATGTAGATCAGAGTACCGGACAGAAAGGATTAGAAACAAGAGACTCTAGACGCACTAGACGACAAGTAGATCAAAGGAAGTGAAGATGGACTGGACACACAAGTGACGTCTCGTCACTATTTAGTGACATCGCACGCCAGTCAGTCAATCGAATGAAACTCGACTGGGAGTGGCTCCAAGGATGACATGAAGAAGATCGTGTGTAGACAAGAGGCTGAACCAGCTGTAAAGGACTGGAGAGAAGTGAGTGAAATGTAA